GCTGGCGGATTGGAGCGGGGAGGGGGGAATCCAGCCCCTCCCCTGTCACGGCAGAGAGCCGTGACAGGATCGAGAGGTGAGCGAACGCCGGTATGTGTTCGCTCACCTCCTGATCTACTGAGCCGACCTGTGACAGTCTCATTGTCACACGTCGGCTAGAACTATGAGGTGAGTGAAAAGCACTCCCCTCAGAGTTCTCCTTTAAAATTGCATGCACCCGTGAAATTGCAAAAAACTACTATATCCAAAATTGGCCATGGGCAATGCTTTAAAAGCTTTTACTGCTCATCAATTTAGTGTTAACAGTGATTGATGGGCCTAGAATTATTGCTTGCACTCCAACGTTCACGGTGATACGTAACGTGTGGCGCAGCTGTCGTTTTTGTACATAGGCGCACCCGATGCTTGTATGTGCCTGTACATGGGTGTGGGGAACTTTAAAAACATGCAACTCATTTTTTTTAACATTTAACTTTATTGCTATCACATAGCGAGCTAACTAGCCCCCCTATGTGATAGCACAAATACAGTGACAGGTCCTCTTTATGGAAACATCAGTGGTCTATTAGACCTCTAATGTCACCTAGTGACCCCAAAGAAGCTGATGACGCAGAGATCTACTTCACTAGTTTGTTCTCCAGGTACAGCAGCCGGATAAATGGCAGGCTGAAAGCGGAAGTGATGTAATACACACCACTTTCGGGTTCAGTGATCGGACAGGAGATCAGCCCCTGGAAGCGTGCTGATCTCCCCCCGATGGAGGTACAGAGAGCAGCCATGGTTAAAAAGCCATGTCCTACTCAGTCACTGTATTACATGGTTTTGTTTCTAAACAAAGCCATATGTCATACTATCCCTGTGTGACAATATCATGTATAAGGGAATCGACCATTCATTCTTACTGTCCAGACTTCCTGTAGATAACATACATGGAATAAAAAAAAGGATTACCCCAATCTACAGGGCCGATGATGTTAGGAAGCATTGTGACTGATTCAGATCCCATTTGTGACAGGCAATCATGTGACCAGCAGACCAGGAAGAGTATTGAGAGTCTTTGCAATGCCGATAGGGCTCACGCCATGCAGGGGACACGGCTGGACTCTCCAGAAACCTAACCCAGGTAAAGCTTTTTCACATTGCACAGCTGAGCCCGTAAAGCAGATTACGCCGTTACAATATAATTTTTTTTCGCGCAAGGTCTACTTTAAAAAAAAAAAAGAACATTTATTTAAGAGCAGAAACGACTTAGCACCCTAATCTGTCATATGTATCCCATTTCCCCCAAACTATCTGCTGTGGAATTAAAGTGACATTAAATTCCATTTGCAATATGTCTCCCGCCCGCGGAAGGCATTAAGTAATATCGGGATGGATTTATTAAAGTGCCAGCCTGCTGATCCCGCTGCTGTCCCTGCAGATGCATCATTTAACCCAATCTGTGCTGGCATTCAGATGTCACGGTACAACAGGCAGGCCCTGTGGAATGTTAGGGAGGTGGCTAGGGATGTCAGTGCCGCTCCGATACCTATCCGCTGGTCCTCCCGGCCTCACGTAGGTTATGACGAAAGGTCTGGACTTGTGCCAGTCGTCTTGTGCACCCCCTGTAACGAAAAGATGATAAAATATGAATTATTCAGGATAGCGAAGGTTCAAAGCCTTGCCTTTGCTTCTACATGGGTTTCCTAATGCTATCAGTGGGAATGTACGCTGCTTGAGCACATACCATGATGGGAGTTAATCAAGCAAGCTAGCACACAATTAGAGCATTTCATACCACCATTTATTCAGCAAAGGGTACACAATGGTTAAGTTTGTGGTTTTGAGATTCCAATGCCTGCAATTCTGGCCAGTCAATTGCATGAGGTATGGAAAGTGGTCAGGGGGTGTTTTATAGGAGTTATTTTTAGCATCTCCTGATGGTTTATAAATGGTTTCCTGCACTCCCCTGTGCCAACCCTGTATTACTTTTGTATAGGATGCGAAAAGATTAGAACCTCTGAAAGGCTTTCATTGCCATCTGTGTTGCCACTGGAATGGCTGTACCTTTTGTCGCTGGGACCAGAAGAGAAAGGAAGACTTGTCTACGGGGAAACAGACAGCAATCAAAACCTGAATCAGGTTCTAACCCTTTTCTACTCTGTTCAAAATTGTTTTAAGAGTGAAGTTGCACTTCAAATAACCACTGAAAACACAGTTTATAAGCAATGTACTGGTTTTTAAAAGTTCAGCATGTATGCAACCAGTGAGGTTCTCGCTGGATTCTGGCCAACGTGAATCCCACAAAACTCGCGGAACAGCAAATTGGGACTTTTTGGACTGCTGGTTAGCATTAGCAGTGGTTCTGTTCTGCCAGAAATTATTCTTTAAAGACAGTGGTGTCACCGGGCCGGGCGTCACTCGTTGTGCATGTCATTACGTATGCACATGACATGATTACACGTGTGTAATGAAGTCACCTGCACCTCACTGCCGGCAGCCATCTAGGGGATGGTCGTGGGCAAAGAGAGGAGGGGACATTCAGCTGGAGGGATAAGGTATGCCGCCAGGTCCCCTCCTCTCTCATGCAGCTGTCATGCTCTCGGTCTATGACCGAGTGCTCGACTTATCAGAGTGAGATGACACCATCAGTCACCCTGATGGTGTCACCTGGTGTGGGCTGCATCCCCCTTGTGACGGCTCTGTTTAAAGGTGAACTCCAGGATAAGCATATATATTATCCTCATACAAGTGTCCTGTGTATTCTTCCTTAAATATTTGTGTGCTTTGTGCATTTCTTCCATATCTGTGCAGTAATCAAGTGTGAAACTTGGAGCTTCCTGTAATAAAGACCGGTCACTGCTGCTCTCTTGCCTTGTGCAGGGTGACTGGTCTTGCCTCCCGCCCCTCCTGTAATAAAGAACGGTCAGTGCTACCCTCTCGCCTTGTACAGGGTGACTGGTCTGGTTTCTGCCCCCTCCTGTAATAAAGACCGGTCACTGCTACTCTCTCGCCTTGTGCTGGGTGACCAGTCTTGCCTCCGCCTGTAGTGGGTGGAGTTTCCTGTAGTGGGTGGAGTCTGCGGGGACCCTCCTACAGCTCTGTTCTCTGTAAAGGCTATGTACAGCACAGTGATGATATAACTGCTACTTTAACAGAGTGATATCTGGGTTTGCTAAGGCAGTTGGTGAACACAAAAGTAGATTTTCCGCTTTAATATTCTCACACCAACAGGTGCCCTGTGGTTACCTCTCATGACGAAGCCGAAACTGTTGCCCTCTTTGCAGAGTGTGATCTCCAACGTCTTTGGGATGATGGCTAAAGTGTTATCCGGAGCTGAAACAACACCGAAGGGTCACTATAATACCAGCAAACATAAGACAGTGGCGGACAGACCTGTGGACATAATCCTCTGCAGATCTCTCATACTAAAGATCATTCAAATAACAGTGACAGCTTTGTCTACTGGGGGGGAAAAAAATCTTTTTGACGAATACAACATTCAACAGTAACAGGGTATAGTGATGCAATATTTCCAGGCACAGGAAACCTGCATGCCTATTGTGTGCAATTGTTTGATCATGGTAATGGTTTTGGGCCAAATTTGCGCAAAACCCCAATTATTTATATATCTAGAACAATACTAATTGGTCTAGACATATATATTTGATAAATTCCGCCAATACTCACCTCCACTCCAGCGCTGTCTCCCGAACACACTCTGCTCCATGATGCAATTCATTCTCACTTCCAGGTTGAAGGACACCCATGGTTCTTCTATTTACTTCTAGTGAGCTCAGGATGTTATGTTACGGACAAGATGAAAAGGATTTGTGATGTCAGATTACTGGAGCTGGAAATTACGTATTTATACTGGGAGATTTTAGGGAAAATATGCTTTTCCAAACATGGAGGAGCATGTGACTCACTCCCTTTCCAGGAGCATCAGTGACCATGCTGGTGTTTGGCCCAATGCTGTCACATAGAAGAGCAGAAAGAGCGCCTTCAATGAAAACACCGGAACGCCATAATTCAGATGGATTTTCACATACATTGCCAATATCATGTATAGGGCGTCCTTTGCTATCCTGTCCTTTATATACATTTAATCACACCTGTCTACCCACACTGTAAATTATTGAGATTAAAAACTATAATATGTCAGTCATAGGATCGTTGCTTACTGGTTGGCGGTAACTCGTACTCCACCTCCAGGACAACTCTCTCCCCAACGTTCTTCAGCAAACTGATTATCTCTTCGTGGCGGAGTTTTGTCAAGTTGATGCCATTCACCGACTTTATATAATCACCGATATTCAGCTGGTCACTCCTGTAAGGAAGACATTCAGAAAGCTAGTGAGTGAGACTGGAGAGGAACTCTGAGAAGGAAAGATGACATTTATCCACAGTGGCATAAGGACTACCAGAGTTCACCTTGCTGCCAAGCCCCCCGGCCTCAGATTGGATACTCGAGGTTTGCCATCTTTATCCGTGCCCCCTGAGATGGTCAGGCCCAGCGTGCTTCCTTCTTTCTTGATGAGCTCCACAATGGTGACTCCCCGAAATTCATCTGAAAAAGGGAAAAAAAAAAAGTAAACAAAGTTCTTTCGTCTTGTAGCTTCCATTCTCTTGTCTGTCAAGGTTCTCTTTTCTCCAGCTCATGGTATTGCTAGTAGGAGTTCATGACATTCAAGTAAACTGTTTGTGTAATGTCATAGCTTTTCCAAACCACTTGGCAACCAAGCCATATGTTTTGATGAGTGATAGGAACATACCCCAGCAATTAACATCTGCCTTGACATATTTCATTGAGATTGGATTGGGGTGTCTGAACTGCCTGCAAGGATATAAATGCCGAGATATGTCCCTGCCATGTATTAGAACTAAAGAAGTGGCTTGGAGAAGATGAAGTCCAGTTGAAGGTGACCATCTACTAGTAGCTACTGTCCTCTTTCCCCATCGTCTCAGGAGAATACTAGTTCCATTCCTACCCAAGTCTCCTTCAGCCTAACCTCACAGCAACTAAGAACTAAAAAAAGCAAGATGGGGATAGGGTACGGAATAAAATGGATAGAAAAGGGGGAGGACAAAGAGAGACTGGAGCAGCTGTGAGCAAGAGGTTGGGAAGCATGGTGGTCTGTAAGGCCTGGTCCACGCCTGGGCGTTTTACAGTGCGTTCCTACGCGCTGTAAAACGCTCAACATGTGAAAACCAATGATTGCCTATGGGCATGGTTCCCACCTGGGCACTTTACAGCGCCAAGAAATGCGCTGCAAAACGCACTACGCCCAAAGAAGTACAGAAGCTTCTTTGGGGCGTATTTGTCACGCTTTCCATTAGGATACAGCGGGATAGCCCTCTGAAACGCGCGTTTCTTTTACCGCAAACAGTAGAAAGGTATCATGGCACAATCACAAACCAGCATGTAAAACAACTTGTCTCACCACTAAGGTTAATAACAGAGGTTTGGATACACGTCTTCTGCAGAAAATGTGAAAGCCGCACAGCCGCGCCAAGGCACCTCTTATAGTGCGGTCCTAACTCTAAACTATGAGAGTTAGGACCTCATAGTTTAGAGTTAGGACCGCACTATAAGAGGTGCCTTGGTGCGGCTGTGCGGCTTTCACATTTTCTGCAGAAGACGTGTATCCAAACCTCTGTTATTAACCTTAGTGGTGAGACAAGTTGTTTTACATGCTGGCTTGTGAGTGTGCCATGATAACTTTCTACTGTTTAAAGCCCATTTCGTGTGCACCTTACTGTATAACTGGTGACAAATTGTTGAGTGCGTTTGTCATTTCTTTTACCGCAAATCGCGGTAAAAACGCGCTGCAAACTAGCATATTCCGGGCGCCTAGGTGTGAACCCAGCCTAAGGGATTAAAGCCAAAATGTATCTTTTCTTGATTTGGATGGAGCATGGAAGGCTTTTATAAAATAGAGTGGAAATCTTCCAAAGGATACATTTGTGGCAGTGAAGGCTAACAGGGTTATTCACACAAGGGTGAAGAGTGTGTAGAAGAAAGGAGAAGGAAACAATCTAGGACAACATAGCTGAACTGGAAAGTGAGCTGAATGGGAGAATGTTTCCAAATTAGCGATGTTGTCCTAGATTGTTCACTTCTCCTGCCTTCTACACACTCTTCACCCTTTAAGAGACCATTTCCCCCACCTTAAAAAGATTTCTTCTCACATCCTGTTCTATCTACAAGACAGGAAGTGATGAAAAATGCTCCCAATAGGACACAAAAAAAAAATTCATGATAGGATTTAACCCTTTCCTACTTTCCTAGCCAAAACTAAGAAGATAAGGTTTGGGTTTTGGATATGCAGTATTTTAAGCTCTGTACTGTTTCTTGCAGAAGGCGTCTCTGTTGGCCGGGGGTGCTTGTTAAAGGGAGAATTTACAACCTGTTGGAAAATCTCCCTTCAAGTGAGCCTGATACTTGCCGACACATCCCCATTGGTCATTTGCCGGAGGATACCTACCTATGGCCAGCTTAAATTATGTAAATGACCATTAACAATATAATACATGAACCAAGCAATTTATTAGAAAAACCTCTATACCCGCTCATTCATGCAATTAGCCAAATATGTGGCCACAATTCATATCATCATGCAGATACAGGAACTTTCATAAATATGTTCACATCAAAACAACAAAATAGGAACCACCAAAGGAAGCACCACATCAAACACCAAAATAGGAACCACCAAAGGAAGCACCACATCAAACACCAAAATAGGAACCACCAAAAGGAAGCACCACATCAAACACCAAAATAGGAAAAATCCCTGATTATGACCGTGACAAGAACGCTGGTTCTACATGGGCTGGTTTTAGTACTTCTGTAGCTGCTGTTCTCCTGGGATTTTAGTGCACAGTAGTTTACCCAAAATGGTACAAAAAAGGTTAAAAAAAAAAAAAAAATGTTTGGAAAAGGAAACTCCTTGTTGATGAGTTAGGACAGAGGAGGAGAATGGGCAGTCTACTTCGGGACAGAAAGGGTATGGTAACCTGGATAACCACAAACCGGGAAAAAAAGCATCTCAGAATGTTCAACATGTTGACCTTGGAGGTGGATGGGCTACAACAGCAGAAGACCACATTGGCTTCCACTTATACTAGCCAACAAGAGAAAGCTGAGGCTGCAGATAGCACAGGGCCACAAAAACTGGACAGTTCAAGACTAATTAATAAAGCCTGGTCTGCTGAATCTTGAATTTCGCTGAAGCCTACAGGTTATAGGATGGTCACCAGACCTGAATCGTACTATAGAACATATGGAATGTGGTAAAACGGGCAGGGACGGATTTACTCTCTCTGCTGCCAGGTTAATGGCAGACCTGCAGGCTGCATACAAGTGATCTTGGTGACATTGCCGGGATCACTTGTACAAAACAAGCGGTGGCTTCCCCACTGTACATATAACCCTGTTTGCTGAAAGCAAGGCTAAATGTAGAAAACAACTACCCACCCGGCGCCCGGAACTGCATGTCCCAGGTATCGGGAGATAGGAATTCCACACCCCTGCTGCCCCTCTACTCCCTGCTGCCCTGAGGCCGGGCCTTGGTTGGCCTTGTGGGAAATCCAGCCCTGAGAACGGGAGATTCGCAGTATGAATGTGCAGCTGACCAATCTGCAGAAATTGTGTAAGTCAATTCACGGACCAGAATCTCAAAGACATGTTGTGGGACGTGGAATTCATGGCACGAAGAATGGAGGTTTTAGGAGCATAGAGAAGCCTACCCAGCATTAGAATAGTGTTCCGAATACTTGTCTTGGTGAGTGTATAGTCATAAATAAAGCTTGCCATAAGACCGCGGAGAATAAAAAAGGCAGCAACTAGCGAAAGCCGCCTTCCTCTGCTCCACAGCACACCTCCTATGAGCGATAGTCGAGCGTCTTGTCAGGCTCTGAAAGGGTTACGTACATTCACAGTTCTGATCCGATCCCTCATGGATGACTGACTGCTCTGCGGGGATTCGTGTCCTATCAATCTGCCCCACCGCTGTGCGAATTACCAGCTGCCCAGGCCCGGCTCCTCACACACACATCTTGATATGACTGCAGATGGCACCTTGCAGGGATATTAATGCTCTCTTGCTGGGGTTTAATTTCTGGGCTGACAAAAATTTAAATTGTAGTTATGGAGACTTGCTGCTCTGAGGCGACCTCCCCGGATTTCGGATTACCCGGAGGAGCTAACAAACCACACGCTGCAGAGCAACAATAGAGGCCATGTATGGCCCCGCTGGACCAGCGATGTACCTCCTGTTATTAAGGCGCGTATCTGACATCCAATCATCGGGCCGAGCTTTACTCCCGACTGTCTCTGGATAAAAGAAGGAAATTGGCCACATCTAAAAGACGTTAACCGCATACATACCAAAGAGTTCTGTCATTTCAGATTATTCATGGGGGACCCAACTCTTCCTTGGCTTGCCTGAGGAGCAGAGTTTAGCAGCAACCACAGTAGAAGCATAAGTGGGTGTATATATTATGGTAGAGCTGTTTAAATCAACCCAGTAACATTTTTAAGAGAACCTGTCACTTTACTCATTGAGGTTCTTGATAGGCCAACAACCCCCCACCCGAAATACCTCCGCCACTGCTCCATTCATCTGCTGGGGAACTGACAAATACCTGGTATTTCCTGATATGAGGGAGTATGTGACCTTCTCCCCTCCTTCCCAAGATGCCACCAATCACCAGGCCCATAATCTGACATGGAAAGGAAGGGAAAAGGTAAGAAACTCGTCTCATCCCCAATACTGACCAACCTATAGCACACACATGGTTTGGACTCAGGTGACCAGAGCTCCCATGGTGCTTCAGAGGCGGACGCCACACTTTGCATGACCTCCTGATGAGGAACTCTCCTGGAACTGGGTTTTCTTTGGTTCTGCATTCTCCTCTCCCTCCTAAGATGTCTCTATTCACCAGGCCCATAAACTGACTTGTAAAGGAGGGGAGAAGGTAAGTAACTAATGTCATCCCCAATATTGACCAACCTATAGCACACACAGGGTTTGGATTTAGGTGACCAGAGCTCCCCTGGTGCTTCAGAGGAGGGAGATCTTTAGACGCCACACTTTCCATGACCTCCTGATGAGGAACTCTCCTGGAACTGGGTTCTCTTCGGTTCTGCATTCTCCCCTCCCACCTAAGATGTCACCAATAACCAGGCCCATAAACTGACTTGTAAAGGAGGGGAGAAGGTAAGTAACGTGTCATCCCCAATACTGACCAACCTATAGCACACACCAGGTTTGTACTCAGGTGACCAGAGCTCCTATGGTGCTTCAGAGGAGGAAGATCTTTAGACGCCACACTTTCCATGACCTCCTGATGGGGAACTCTCCTGGAACTGGGTTCTCTTTGGTTCTGCATTCTTTGAATAGTAGAAAACTTCACATACCCCCGTGGTGTGAATGGGCCCCAAGACAATGGTCACCCAGGTCCCCCATTCTAAGAGTTCTTCTCAGTTCCTGTTCTGGTGACAACTGCAAAGCTTTGGATTTCCCACCACATTTTGCCACAGTGACATGCTCACCAGGACCAACAGAGAAGGTGAAGTCTCCCAACGGTGTCACAGCCAACAATAAACAGTCAAAGTTCTATGATGGCGGGTCATGGAGCGTCACTTTGCCTTGCAGGCAATCACAAAATCGGCCAATCAGCTTTAAGCAGCTTGGTGGTCTTACCATGTCAGGTGATCCCTGATTGGCCACATTGTGATACAAGGGAAGAAATGTTAAGACTTCATCATCTTCTTACCTGGAATACTCTGACGCCGGGACACCAAAGCAACATCGTTGCCCGTCGGATCTTTGCTGCCTTTCGAATACGGGCCGTCGTCTAGAAAAAAACAAAAGAGGACAATAAAAGGACTGAGGACTAGAGAAGTGACAGGGTGGAAATCTGACGCACACCTTCTAAAGCATTGCAGTTCCTGAAAGCAATGCGTTCCTTCATGCTGATGTAACTACGACCGGTCTATGTTTTCATGTTTTATAGACCTATATATCTGTATACACACCGACTTCTCTGATTAGTATTGCAGCACAGTGGCTGTGCTTTACAGCTCCTCATAATTCAGTACAAGCCTGGGGCTGCTCATAGACTTTAGATGGTGTCAGACATGAAGGTAACATTCTCAGCCCGACTCCACCGCCTCACCCTCAGCCTGACGCCACAGCCTCCCCCTCAGCCTGACGCCACAGCCTCCCCCTCAGCCTGACGCCACAGCCTCACGCCACCGCCTCCTCCTCAGCCTGACGCCACCGCCTCCCCTCAGCCTGACGCCACTGCCTCCCCCTCAGCCTGACGCCATCCCTCAGGCAACATCTCTTTGGTTCATAGGGGGAGGGCGGCAGGTGCACAGCTGCCCACTTTCCAGCCAGAGCGTCCCAGGTTGCCAAAAGCTGGGCGGGGAAATGCAGAGCCCTTACACATCTCCCCGCCCATCTCATAGCGGCATCACTCTCCACCAAACTCCAACGGCCCCCTTCCCCCCCACCACCACCTCAAATGCTAGGGACACCCCTGCTCTTGCTGCTCCCAAACAGGCTGCTTAAGGTCCCATCACTGTCAAACTTTTACTGAACTCCCTTCACCCTTTAAAGTGGCTTACTCTACAGTTAATTTTCTTGCAGCACCCCTTTTCAATGCCTTACCCTGCAGTTGATTTCCTCGCAGCACCCCTTTTATGTGCCTTAAACTGCAGTTGACTTTCTAGCAGCAACCCTTTTAAATGGCTTGTTCTACAGCTGAGTTTCCTATGGCAGCCTATTCTGTAGTTGACTTTCCTGCACCCCCTCTTTTAGAGGGCTTATCCTGTAACTGACGCTACTGAAGCATCTCTTTTGTATGGCTTATTCTGTAGATGACTTACTTGCAGCAGCGGATTAAAAAAAAAAAAAGCTGCCTGACACAAAGATACCCAAACAGAGGAAGCATCTACAAACCCGTGCAAGAAAGAATATTCTAAAGTAGTGCTAGAAGGGCAGGCAAGTATTGAAATTACAATTCTACATTTCTTCACAATGAATATGCCAAATAGCTTCTCGTTCATGTTCCCAGGTGTGGCCAGGTGCTAACTGATAAGCTGATTGACACTCATCAGTGGCAATGCTGATAGCCACACCCCCCTGCAACATCTCCTCCCACTGTGGCGGAAGCAGGCACAGCCTACATCAGGGTGACAACTCTGCTCTGAATTCAGAAGCAGAGCAGCATTGTTGTCACCCCATCACAGGAAGCTGCATTAGGTGACTTCACTGGCAGGATCAACAGGTCTTTCTGGGACTTTGTAGGGGAACTGAGAGAAAATTAAGTGCAGTCGGGACTTAAAATTTAAACGCTGGAGCACATTTTTTTAAAGCGCCGTCATTTCGTCCCTGAACCGCAAAGTTTTGACATATTGTACACAGGCTGTAGGTCTGATGTGAAATATTTTTTTTTTCTATCTGTCACCAGATAAGAGACTTCAAGGACAGCGCCAGTCCAAGACAGCGAAACATCGCCGCAAATAACATTTCCCATCAACCGTTCCCGGAGATTGAAATCACAAGTGAGACGAGGCTGCGAACGGCGCGGCAGAGAAGACACGAAGACGCAGGAGAGGAGATAGGAAAGGACGACTCGGAGACGCTGCGTGTGTGTGCGTCGTGTACAGTACCCCCATACCGTACCCCATACTATACCTCATACAGTACCCCATACTATACCCTATACCATACCCCATACTATACCCCCATACCATACCCCATACCATACCCTATACTATACCTCATACAGTACCCCATACCATACACCATACCGTACCCCATTCCACACCCCCATACTATACCCCATACTACACCCCCATACTACACCCCAATACTACACCATATCATAACACAAACTCTGTATTTACTTCATATTAATATGCAGCAATCAAAAGCAAATTAAGACAAATAGGCACACGAACTTTTCCAGGATAATACATGCCGCAGGTCAGCAGAACAGTGAGTACACAGGTTTTTTTTTCTGATTAGATAAGAGTTCTGATTAATTGAATACCGGATAACAGAGAGTTTAATGTATCATCAATTTACTTGTGTATAAAATCATTTTATATTATAAAATTATTATCTATATTTTAGTATAAAAGAATTTTATACTAAATTACAGTAAACTCCCCCCGTTATCCGGCATGCACTGGGATTGGTAGATTCCGGATAAATGTAGTTTCTGGGTGTTCAAGAGTTACTATTAAAAATAGGTCTAACTAATGCCAAACCCCCATACCATACACCATACTATACCCCAAACCATACCATACCCCATACAGTACCCCATACCATACCCCATACCGTACCCCATACCATACCCCATACTATACCTCATACAGTACCCCATACCATACCCCATACAGTACCCCATACTATACCCCATACCATACCCCCTCTCTCATTTTCTCACTCTCTCTAATTCTCCATCATCCATCGATCTATATATTAGGGGTGGACAAATTAACAAATTATCACCACTGGGAGAGGATTGCGATATCTCTCATTGATAAATCTGAGGACAGACAATGATTTCCTCCCGGGAGAACTTGGCCCCGCTGCAGCCAGCACAATACTTTCTACATATGAATCCCATATTTGTAACATTAGATTGTTGTTATTTGCAGCTCGGTGTGCGGAATGTTGTCCAAGCAATGCGAAATACCAGGGCGCCGTCTTCCCGCAGCCAATCCTCAGCATCCTTCTGGGTCTTTAAATAGGCCGATGAAACAAAGTTTCATTTCAGCACTCCGTACTATAAAAGCTGTGGCATTACAACCATGCCGCCGATCCCTCGCCCTGCCTTCCCTCTGATCTAAATGTGTCCTTGTGGACCGGCAGCATGGAAGAGATTCGCATTCGTTGTAGGGAATTATCACCTCGCTGATTACATCGACGGAGGTGCCTAACATTGCAGAGCGTCATCACATCTCAAGACCAATGTGTACATGGACATCCTATCCCAGGGGGATTCCTTCCATGTGTTACCCATTTTGTATGACAAATAAAATGGTTAAAATCTTCAGTTTTGTTCTTCCATCTGTGTCCCATTCACTTCCTGTTGGGTAGACAACCGTAGAGGAAATGTCCGCAGACAGTTGTCACTGAGTAGGTGCCAATTGGAAGACTTCCCCTCTATTTCTGTTTTGGTGACAACTCAAATTTTTCGATTCCTCCCCACTTCCAGCCCCGGTGACAAAGGTTGCCAGAACTAATAGGGGGAGCAAATTTTGCAGCAATAAAAACCTACCAAGGCACCGAACCCCATCCACTTTGGCTCTAGATACATTTTAAAGCCAAACTCCGGCCTTCCCTTCAGTCTTGCACAGTTGTACCGGCTCCTCTTCTGGACTGAAATGGCTTTCTCTGATTTCACTGCACACTGGGAGCTTCTCACAATGTGCATTAGAAGTTGCGGCAAGTCAGATAGAGCTCCGCCTCATTTCCTGGCTGGAGGATGTCTAGCATCAGCTAGATCTTTCCTCCCCAGTCTGACTCTCCCTGTCCTGCCCACTTTCATTCATTGGATTTCAGTTATTTCAATCATGGAGGCTCAGCATCACATGTGGGCTTTAGCTAGGGTACTCTGCATGCAAATCCAGCCTGCTTAGGAACACCCACTCATTTCACGCCAACACTCACCCATCAAGGTATTTCGATATTTGTAGAACTGGCCCCTCCTACCAGCCATGATCTGCCTGCATTGCTTAGAGAAGCAAAGAGACCTGACATCATTGGGTCTAAAATATTACAAAAATGTATTAATCTCATTTGCATGTTGATGATGGGGTGGGGGGGCGGGCGGTGCGGTTGGAGGAACCAGGCAAGGCAAAATATAATGCCAATTTATAAGCATGCCGGACACAGATTTCCCAAATCTACTATAATACAAGATTCACTGTTCCTCAGTTTGACAGAAAGCAATTTCCCCGGAAGACAAAAAAACAACTAAATTTAAACCCAAAAGACGTAAACGGCGTAACAAATATAGGGATGAGTCACACATCCGGAAATAGTTAAATTTCTTGCAGCTGGTTGAATCCAGTACGTTATATATATATCCACACCAATATATGCAAATCTTAAATTGCTGCTTAGAGGGCGAGATTATCCCAGTACCTACTTAAGAGCTGATGGACTAACAGGGGCAAGAGAAGCGAAGAGCATCAAAGATTTATAAAAAGGCGCAGTGCCGCAGTAACCCCTGGTCGCGGAGCAGAAATGGCGTGAGCAGGGCCGGATTTCCCACAAGGCCAACCAAGGCCCGGCCTCGGGGCAGCAGGGAGTAGAGGGGCAGCAGGGGTGTGGAATTCCTATCTCCCGATGCCAGGGACATGCAGTTCCGGGCGGGTAGTTGTTTTCTACATTAGGCCTGCTTTGGGCAAGAAAAGCTAAATGTACAGTGGGGAAGCCGCCACTTGTTATGTACAAGTGGTCTCGGCAATGTTACTGAGAGCACTTGTATGCAGCCTGCAGGTCTGCCATTCTCCATGGGGGTTGGCGGGTAGGGGGGCGCATCGAGGAACCTGGCCTTGGGGCAGCAGAGATAGTAAATACAGCCCTGTGCGTGAGCGGCAAGCGCTGGCCAGTGACGGCTTGCTCACCTGTCCAGCAAGGGAGAACCCGTGCAACCAGTTTTGCTAGCGTGATAAGCCCCCCCAACCAGGGCCAGATTTCCCACAAGGCCACCAAGGCCCGGCCTAGGGACAGCAGCGAGTAGAGAATCAGCAGGGGTATGGAATTCCTGTCGCTCGACGCCCGGGACATGCAGTTCTAGGCACTGGGCTGGTAGTTCTTTTCTACATT